GATCCACATTTCTACTTGTATAATTGTAGCAGAATGTAATAAACTCTAATATTACATAGTTTTGCTTCCCTGTGTTCTTATAGAAAGCATGTTGAACATGCTAATGCACAATGTTCAGTGGCAATATTCTCATATCATCCCTTTTTATGCATATAAATTTGCAAACGTACATTCAAGTTTACAAATGCACACAGACAGTATGTTGTGTTTGGCATTCATGCTAGAATATTCATGCAGATATCATACATCGCAGCTATTAATAACACACACATGCACTTAAACAATGAAGAACATCCACACAGTGCCAGCCAGCATTTTGTTTTGTTCAGCATGCATGTGTATGAGTGTGAGGGAGTAAAACAGATGAGATCAGCGATCCTAATTCACCATCAGCTCCTCTAACAGAAGGATTTTCCAGGGCTTTATCCGGCTATGAGGCCCACACCCCTCCACAACTGATCTGCTCTGCACACAATACAAACCTCTGCCTAATCACTTCTGCCCTGAACAAATCAGAACCACCAACAGCACTCAATCATATAGCCATGAACCACACTGCACAGATAAAAAAAAAAAAATACATATAAAATAAAATAAAAAAGGTTTATTTATACCATCATGTTTACGGAGTCCACGTCCTGCTGAATTTTCTTAAAGAAAAAAGGATATGTATATATATATATATATATATACTGTATATATAGATAGATAGATTAAACGACCTGTGTGCGGCTACATGTGTGACCGTTTACTTGCGGCTTCCCACACAGCCTTAGCTAACGGCTAGTTCTATTAGGCGGACTTTCATCACTCTTTTCGCCCTCGTTTATATTTTTCAATAAGCTAAGGATTTAACTTTTTGTGTACTTGTTAAAAAGGACAACCTCAAAGACACTTCCTTTAGCCATTTTTGATAACTCCAAATAAGCTTGTTTTTTTTGTTGTTGCTGGATCTCATAAATCACGATGTGGGAGTTCCGCTCTATGATGTTCTGGCGGGCGGTGTTCGCCGAGTTTTTCGGCACCATGTTCTTCGTGTTCTTCGGGATGGGCGCAGCGCTACGCTGGACCTCCGGGCCGTACCATGTCTTCCACACTGCCCTCTGCTTCGGTTTTGCTGCTGCCACTCTCATCCAATCCATCGGCCACATCAGCGGAGGACACATCAACCCAGCCGTCACCTTCGCCTACTTAGTCGGCTCTCAGATGTCCTTTTTCCGAGCTTTCTTCTACATCTGTGCTCAGTGCCTGGGGGCCATGGCAGGAGCCGCGGCCCTTTATGGAGTTACACCCAACAATATGAGAGGCACATTGGCACTTAACACGGTAAGAGTGACCCCAAAAAAAAATTATTATGATTTTGTATTTATTTATTTGCACATTTTGAGTTCAAATGTGTTTTAATGGGAAATCAATTTATCTAATAAATTTGATGTATTGAAATCTTATTAATTGTATTCAGTACATATATAGAAGCACACAGTACTGCGCTAACAGGCCCCTACAGAACTGTACTACAGAACTATGTTGCAGTCTTATAAATCTTTATGAATAATTTTTTGTACCTGTTTATGTCTCTGCAGCTGCAGCCCGGCATGAGTCTCGGCATGGCGACTACAGTGGAGGTGTTTCTCACCTTGCAGTTGGTGGTTTGCGTTTTCGCCGTCACAGATGAGAGGCGAAACGGCCGTCTGGGTTCTGCCGCTCTGTCCATTGGCTTCTCTATCACTATGGGCCACCTGATGGGGGTGAGAATGAATATTTTAGTATTCGAATAAACTTTTTTGAGTATTTTAAGTGTGCAGTACACCAAACATGTACCCTGCTTGTCTTTGAATCAGATGTACTACACTGGAGCTGGCATGAACCCAGCTAGATCTTTCGCTCCTGCTGTCATCATGAGGAATTTCATCAACCACTGGGTAAGAAACGCAAAGTAAAGTACTGAAATTACAGGAAAAAAATATTTAGTGACTTTCTTTTTCTCTTCTGACAGGTGTACTGGGTGGGACCTATGATTGGTGGTGCTATGGGTGCCATCCTGTATGATTTCATACTGTTTCCCCGTATGCGGGATCTCTCCGAGCGGCTAGCTACTCTCAAGGGCAGCCGACCCCCAGAGGCCGAGAAGCAGCAGGAGACCCGCGGGGAGCCCATCGAGCTGAAGACTCAAACCCTATAAACCTGCTAAGAACCTGTGGACCGAAATCTGGCTCTACCTCACCGGACCGTCTCGTCGCCTCAAGCAACACTCAGTATACCTCAGTTAATAAACTCCCACACTGAGGGTCACACATCCATGCGAAAACCATTAAGGGAGCTGAAATGAGTACAATACTTTGTTTAGTATTCAAGGTTTGTTGCTAATTTCAATGCAGGGCAGTGACGGAGCTAAGGCAGGGGTTCAGGTGGGTGTGCGAGGGGCTTGAGCTGTTTATTTAGGCATGCTTTTCACTTTTCATCTGACTTCACTTTCACAATTCATTTTCAGTTTTGTTTTCTACAACACCAAGATGTGGATGTATGCAACTTAACCAGGGTTTCACACTTTTTTTTTTTTAAATATCCGTGAGAGTTATTGTGCAAATGAGTGCAAGTGTGTGGGTCATTTTGTGTGTGTGAGGGAGAACGTGCCAAGGTACTGTATGTATGTGTGTTTAGCTTGTGCATGACCAAGTGTATGTGTGAGTGTGTCTGTCTGCTGAGCAATTATTTTGGGTTTTTATCATTACAGCTCGCTAGTGTTTGTACCATGCTAATGTTTTTTTCCCCTTATTTTTACGGGACTCTAAGACACCCCAAACTGTATTTTTTGCAATGATATTACATTCACTTTGACATTCACACAAACCACCCGTGGACTGAGCTGTTTTAAACACAACAGGTGTTGTGCCCAATTCTGACACACCCCCCACCCTAGTATTGGTAAATTTAGGAGTAGGTGTGGGAGAAGCGTTAGGTTTAGGGGTGGGTTTAGGATTAAGCAATCAGGTAGAGACTTGAATGAGGGGGGTAATAATTTGGCAGGGAGGTCAAAATTGAGCACAACACCGTCTTTGCCGCCAGTCTTTTCAATTACTTCTCAAGTTTACAGTGTCTCTGTTGCCTTTCATTAAATCTTGTTTGAGGATAACATCCATGACTGGGCAAAAAAAGCTATATGAATCATATCTGAATGCAAATAAATACATAAAAAAGAAGAGGCTCTTTGTATGTACCACATGCACACACGCTACATTTTGCTTAAGAGTATGAATGCTGCAGGAACTAATATTAACACCACATGGCGCTGTACAACAGCTTGTGATCTCAGAACATTCAGCTGCCATTAGAGTTTCATCATGGCGGGGTTTAATGAGAGATAAAGTCATTTAGGAATAGAAACTGGGAACAAGAAAAATGACCAGTACCTGTTTACAGTAAAACAGAATGGTAAAAATTTTATTACCGGGAGGCAAAACACAAGCTCAATTCCATGAAATCAAAATGTACCTTTGGTAGATATGCTATAGGCGTTTAAAATTTGCAGTCTCTCTAGGGAAAACGGATCAGAAATATTGACGACTCATCTTGCTCTACAATTTCTTGTCCAATAAAATTCTGTATATAATGAATGCCCCTCCCCCAATACTTGAGCAGTTTATCAAGTGAAAGGAATTTCCATTTTGTTTTATACTATATAGTAAGAAATTACATATTTTAATGTTGTTTATGTGTAGGCTACTTAGTATTACTATTAACTGATATTTGATGGCGACCCGGTTTCTCACGACACGGCGCCGCCATCTTGAAACGATCAACAAGGAGTGCGTAAAAATGTAAGTCCAAACATTATGTGCACCAGTAAGCTTGTGTGTGGACTGCTGAGCATATATTAATCTTAAAAAAGTTTGACATGTTTTCACAATCCTTTTGTAGAGAACTATTTAGAGTTATAAGTCATGGGGATTGTTTGTTTATGCCCCCACCCTACCTGTTCATTAGTCTCCGCCAACTGACGGGCCATAAAACTCGCAAAGCCTTTAATAAAACCGATTAACAACTTTACAAACAATAAACGCATAACTACAGTAAATATGAACATAAATACAGTAAATCTAACTCAATGAAAGGACTAAACGGACAGATAGAGATGATATCAAATTAGTTATTGTACATTTGGTAACTCAGAATAAAATCGATATGATTTAATAACACATTTATGATTTGAATAATTTGTTGCTACTTTTAAAGGACCATCAATGGAGAAAGATGCCTTTTGTCCACAGCATCTGGCAGTAGGGACTTACAGAAACAGCTTTTAGTAGTATAATATATATTTCTAACCGCGACACCGATTTCCCTAAATATGGTCTGGGTCAGAATCGTAAATATGTTCAAAATCTGCCAGTATTCATTTTCCAACTTGACATGCAGGTGGTGCACAAGAGAAATGCCTATTATCCTGAGTTGTCAGAAAAACAAAAAACTGCACAATATAATGTGAACGCCATGCACAGTGCATAAACGTTTCATCTGCTTGGAGGAGGACTGTTTGTAAAGTCGTTCACAGGTGCTCATTTGGATTATAAGGTCTGAGGCTTCATGCATAAAACTTCCTGTAGTTTCCATAGTGATAGTTTGCCTACTCACAAAAATATAAAAAGACCTAATGCCTTCCATTGCCTTCATTTGCATAGGTTTGTATGCTCGTCCATGAACTCTTGGATTCACTCCAGCTCTTCCTTTGAAGCAGTTGTTAAACTGCCTTTGGTTATTCATTGCAAGCACATATATACTTCCGTGTCTCTCAATGAATTTGTCTGCAGAAACAAAAAGAAGCTCCAAAGAAGAAAAACAAACTCAACTGACAAGTTGAAAACATACAAACTGACTATAAATATAATCATATGAACCATATAACAATGCATCAGGGTGGCAAATAAAAGAAACTCTTGATGGGATTCTTTAAGAAAGCAGTAAAACATATACAAACTGCAAAATAACCACATTAGATAAGCTCAGTTTTTGCAAATTGACTTTATTACATGTTTTGCATGTTCTGGTCTTATGGCTTTCACTGGAAGGTATTTTCTTATTTTGAGTGGAGTGTCTCAGGGCAGATTAATGACAACACTGTTCTTGTGAAAACAAACAGATTGTCCTGGCAATATGTCAACGTGTGCTGTTCGAACGTCCCATCAGTCAAGACTTTTCTCAAGTTTTCCTGCTGGCATTTTGTCCTGTAGTGTCATTTGTGGAGTGATACCAAAAGCAACCACCGACATCTGTCACAATACTCTTTCTTTTGTCCGTTCAGCAGACCAAAACAGAGTCTAAAAAGCATCACAGATGAGACCGAATTAGAATACGATTAATACTCAATGTTTCAATGTCTATTTCCTCATGATTATTCACAGGCGAGCTACAGCGCATCTTGAATCCATGTGTTACTGAATGCTAGATTAATCTCGTTACAATCTATGTGGAGCTACTTAAGATTGCGAGGAATCTTGAGGAAAGAGAAACTACAGGAACGGAAGAGACATTTGACAGAGGTGATGCACAGTGATAAGCAGAATTACAAATCCGTTGCAATGCTACATTTCTAGAAAAGTTATCTATTCTTGGAAAAAGTTTGGTTAAAAAAAATTCACATATTTTCGCTCGGATAGAGGGAAGCACATTTGTGTCATGAGAACAGCTATATAAAAGAAAAATTGGAGAAGTCTCTAAGGCTTTGTGCTTAACAGATATAACTGCAGAGTCCATCCAACCTTAAAAACCTGTCAATCTTAGCGGTACAAAACCGTTCAAACGTCTGGGGTCAGAAACGTCTTTTTGAAAGAAATTAATACTTTTATTCAGCATGGACGCATTCAATTGATAAAAAGTGGAAGATTTATAATTTTAGAAAACATTTCCGTTTGAAATAATCTTGTTCTTTTGAACTTCTGTTCATCAAAACATCCCTTAAAAATATTTGCTCAAAAATATTAAGCAGCACAACTGTTTTCAACGTCAATAATGAGAAGAAATGTTTCTTGAGCAGCAAATCAGCATTTTAATGAATATTTCTGAAGGATCATGTGACACTGAAGACTAATGATGTACGAGTAATGATGCTGAATTTTTAAATATATTCAAATAGAAAACAATTATTTTAAATTGCAATAATATTTCACAATATTAGAGTTTCAAAAACTTTAAAAAATCTTAGACCCCAAACTTTTGAACTCGTGTGTGTGTGTGTGTATAATCTCTCATTTCTTCTCATTCATTGGATCCATCTGCATTACAACCCTGCAATCCATCATTTATTCATCTAATATTGGTTATTCAACAATCTTCTACCAATAATGACAATAATATAGTTATTAATCATAAAGAGTAACCAGTCAGAGTAAAAGTCCATAAACTTAGAGATGATGAAAAGCTGAAAAACTCGAAGCCCTTTGTATTCGCCCCCAGTCTCAGTTCCCTGTCCCAAAATGATGATGTTCTAGTGCAAGTTCAGCATACTCAGTGGCTCCCTGTGGCCTGATCTACAGGCGGTCAGCGTGGAGCTGGTGAGGAGGGATCTGGATGAAGGCTGCGCTGGGGGCTCCTCCGATGGAGGGGAGGGCTGTGGGGACCGGGGTGTTTGTGGCAGAGGAGGGCCCGGGGGTGCCTGGAGGGTACATGTAGCTCAGGAAGCCTGGCGAGGGGGCGTAGGGATACTGCTCGAAGGCTGAGGAGGCATACTGAGTGTAGGCAGTGCTGAAGTCAAGGTAAGGGGTCGTGGCACTGGAGGTGACCTGTGCGGGCAGAACCAGACTGGGTTGCAGGAAGGCCTGAGGGTAAACATACGGCTGGCTGAGTCTGCAAAGACAATCAGAGAGAGAGAGAAAGAGAGAGAGTTAACTATTAACAGCTTGGGGCTCCTCCGATGGAGGGGAGGGCTGTGGGGACCGGGGTGTTTGTGGCAGAGGAGGGCCCGGGGGTGCCTGGAGGGTACATGTAGCTCAGGAAGCCTGGCGAGGGGGCGTAGGGATACTGCTCGAAGGCTGAGGAGGCATACTGAGTGTAGGCAGTGCTGAAGTCAAGGTAAGGGGTCGTGGCACTGGAGGTGACCTGTGCGGGCAGAACCAGACTGGGTTGCAGGAAGGCCTGAGGGTAAACATACGGCTGGCTGAGTCTGCAAAGACAATCAGAGAGAGAGAAAGAGAGAGAGTTAACTATTAACAGCTTATCAGATCACAAAGGCTGCAATTTAAGTAATTAAATATACGTGCTGTGTGTTTCATAGCGAAGCGCAGCACTGTGTTCATTTACACATAAGCAGCTCATGATCTGGTGTTTTTAGCGTCTCTTGTCACAGTAAATAATGCTCCATACAAACTGCATCGCTGCGTCTGCTCGGAGTTATTAATGTGAGTTGCTCGGAGCTGCTTTAATGTGAATTTGCTGCAGCCATCTTCCCAAACTGATGACTTATCAAAAGAAGAGAAGCTTTGGGTCTCTTTGCGTTTTTCTTTTTCTTTTTCTCCATCTCATATCACAGCCAAATATCATAGCAAACTGAAGCACTAAAGAGAGAGAAAGAAAGAGAAACCAGAGGCTGCTACCCACAGCTCAGACCCATGAGACACCGTCAAAAACAAAGAGGAACCCAGAGGGGCCGCCGACACGGAGCTCAAAATATTGAAAACACAAAGCAGGCAACATCCTCATACACAGCCGAAGACACTCACACATCTGCAGCAGCATACACTTGCCTTCATACACACGCATACACAGCTGCAGTGTCATTCGTCTGCCAGACCCTCGCTGGCATCCTGGGCTGAAGGATGATTTATAGGGACTGACAGTGGCTTTGTGGAGTAGGCAAATCAACAGAGTCTGCCGTCCTTACTGACCCTATTCATCCTAGCAAACGCTAATGCAGACAGGGAAATAGAGGGATGAGGAGGAGGAGAGAGAGAAACAGAGACGAGGCAAAATAAAAAAAGACCAAAGTTGACAAGGGTGTGAGGACTGACAAAGTAGGGTGAACTGATAGCTACAAATTAGATGGAAATGATTGCATGTCTTCAGCTCTTCCAAAACCTAGTGTACTGCCTGCATAGACAGCTGCCTTCTAACCCTTAGATTAACTTGTCAGGTCTTGGAGCCTTTATAAATGGGCTGATTTAAAAAAAATAAGGGGTAATGAAAATTCACCCTATTTATTTTTTGATCTTTTTGTGAAAGATTCAACTAGGCATGTTTAATTTTATTTAATGTCAAATTTCTTTTTTGACCTCAAACTATGAAGATCTGTAAAGTTGCAAAGACTAAAGTCTCAAATCCAAAGAGATATTCTTTATAAAAGTTAAGAGTCAACCACGCGTACCTAAAACGGCTCGTTCCAACACGCCCTCACATGTCTACGTCATGATGTGGGAAGATTTGCATAACGCCGCCCAAAAGTTCACACAAAGAAAGAAGGCGTAACTTTTATTCTCCCTGTAGTATTGTTATTGCCGCCACTGCCATGTCGTGAAGGTGCTGTGTGTTTCGTTGTGAAAGCAAAACTACTTTGTTTGGCCTTCCAAAAGACGATGATATCCGCTTCGTCATGCCTGGAGCTGATCCGTGCTGGTCGCTGAGGAAATACATCAACTTTGCACTGTGGATCGGCGGATCGGCGGATCGGCTTTCACCGTGGACGAAGCGGAGTCCAGCCTGGGGTCGTCACATGTGGTTACCGCAAGCCGCGCCGTTCTCAAGCCCACCCGCCTCTGCTCACTCTAGCCCCCGGCCTCTGCTCACTCTAGGCCGCGCACGGTGTGTGACGCTGTTTCATTGTGAAAGCAAAACTACTTTGTTTGGCCTTCCAAAAGAGGACACGACTAGAAATCAGTGGTTAAGTTATATTAAAACACTGTTCCAGAACAGTTTAACCCAAATATTCAGATGTGTGCAGCACATTTTATGGAGGACTGTTTGCTGATCCTGGGAGAGTAGACTACAATGCCGGCTGTTCTGACTCACAGACTGTAAGTGCATTTTTTA